TTGTGACAGCAATGGCTAGCGGGGAAGAAACCCCGACAGTTGAGCAAGGAGCAGCTTCTAGTAGACCACGAGTGTCAAGAAAGAATGTACGAGCCAAAACCGATCTGACTTGGAATCATTGTACCTTTCATCTTGAGGGAAAGGTTGAGGTACGCACTTGCATATATTGTGAGAAAGTATTCAGAAGTGGAGAATCACTAGAATGAAAACATCTAGCTGGAGTTAGTGGGGATAAAGCTGTATATACAAAGGTTCCTCCTGAGGTGAGCCACAACTTGAAGAAACTTTTGACTGATTTTGAAGCTAATAAAAAGAAATATGAACTTATCAAAGCTAGATTTAAAGAACCTCTTGAGACTAGTTCTTCTAGTGCACATGATGATGGTAATATTTCTAAAAGAGTTGCTACTTCCACAAATGTGTCTACTGGATCAGTTGAAACTTTCTTTGCTCCACGATCAACTTCTGGTAGCCAACCGGGAATAAAGAGGGTCTTAGCAACTAAAGAAGCTGTATTGTATGTAGATCGATCATGGGCTAGATGGTTCTATGATGCATGTATTCCTTTAGAAGCAATTAAATCTCCACAGTTTAAAATTGCATTGGATGCTTCTTTGATCAACTTTCTGATTTATTCTTCTAATGGCACATGCTTTGTGAAATCCGTTGATGCTTCTGGTATGGTGAAGACTGGAAAGAACTTGTTTAAGTTGTTTAGTGGGGTCATTGATTGGGTTGGGGCAGAGAATGTTGTGCAGGTGGTGACGGATAATGCATCTAATTATAGATCTGCAGGGAAGATGATTCATGACCATTATGGTAATATATATTGGACTCCTTGTGTTGCTCATACCCTGAATTTACTTCTGCAATACATTGGAGGGTTGCCTCATGTTAGGACTCTTGCATATCGAGCAACCAAAATATCTAAATTTGTTTATAATCATGGCCCACTTTATTACTTGTTGAAGACAAGAGATAATTGGAAAGAAATAGTGAGGCCTGGAGCTACAAGATTTGCAACTACATTTCTGAGTTTGCAAAGTATTTTTGAGCATATGAACGACTTGGAGGCTCTAGTGATCAGTGAATTCTTTCGAGATAGTGAGTTCTCGAAAATGCAGGTTGGAAAGGATGTGAAGTCAATTGTACTGGATCAACAATTTTGGGTGGATTGTGACTTCATAGTTAAGTTGACAATGCCAATAGTGAAGTTACTTCGCATTGTGGATTCAGATAGTAAACCAGCTATGGGGTATGTACATGATGGGATGATTAGAGTGTCAAAAGCTGTGAAGGTTATTTGTGGAGATAAGGTGGAGCAGTACAAGCCTTACATACAAAGCAGTTAAAATCGGGATTTTACCTAAAATAAAAAACTAGGGTAAAATCGGAATCGTAAAATCGAATCGTAGGATTTTAAGTACCATATAGAAATTAACATATAATAATATTAATAAGGTAAATAACTAATAACACAAAGACTTATAACATTTAAAGTGATAATTTTCAAGATTAATATTCCAAAATTATCATTTTAATTGTTATTTAATGCGTAACTCAAAATAATTTATGAGGAAGGGATAGAGCTCATGGGGTTTGGCTCTTGTTTTTCATGTTGTGTCTAGGTAGTTTATCTCAAAGTAGTATCCCGACATCGTCTACTAAGCATGATTTAAAACTAAGAATAACTGAAATCCAAGAAAATAATTAATGTCATTGGTTTGGTACAAATATATTCATTAATCAAATAATTTATTAACAATGATGTTAATTCTTACGCACTTACAATATTCTGACAATTGTTTTACCGATGAGTTAAACAAGGAGAAGGGAAAGGGGTTGACCGAACCCTAATTAGTTTTTTTTCTTCTTTTCAAATGTTCTTTTAATAGGAAAAATATATGAGAAGATTCCCTTCATTGCCCTTTCCACCGAAACAGTTCTGCTTCTTTTGAATTGGCTCAAGCTCCCTATTTTGTTCACATAGGATCAAAATCCCGATTTTGCTACGATTTTAAGGTCCACCGATTTTATAGTAAAATAAGGATCGGAATCCCTAAGTAAAATCCTACGATTTTACGATCAAAATCCTGATTTTGAGTGCATTGCTTACATAGACCTCATTAACAAGAGGCGGGATAAACATTTGAGCCGTGATTTGTTTTTGGTAGCATACTTCCTTAATCCGGCTTTCAAGTATGCCAACGATTTTGAAGATGTATTAGAAATGGCATTCTTGATCTTCTTGAGAACCAATCTTATGTCCTTATACAAATGTGGTGCTTGAGGAGCTGACTTTGTATTCTGAACGAAAAGGTAATTTTGGGAGGAAGCAAGCAATTGATTCTGCACAACAGCTACAACCAGGTAATTGAATTTATGTACATTAATAATAGTTCTATTTATTAAGAATTAAGATACTAACATGTATGCTTAATATGCAGATAAGTGGTGGAAATGGTTTGGTATTGATGCTCCGAATGTGCAGAAGTTGGCTATTCGCATTCTTAGACAAAGTGCTTCTTCTTCTGGCTATGAACGTAATTGGAGTGTATTTGAACGTGTGCACACCAAAAGAAGAAACAAATTGCAGCACAAAATGCTCAGTGATTTGGTGTTTGTGAATTACAACTTGCGGCTTGTGAATTATTACTTTTTCTAGTTTTTATATTTACTATTGAACTGAATCAATATATGCATTTCCACTTTGACTAGAGAGTATTATGCCATGAAGAACAAAGAATCATATGATCTCATATCTCTTGAAAGGATTCATTGTGATATTACTACTGAGTGGTTGATAGAAGAGAATGAAGGGGCATCTTCTAAAGACAAGGAATTGGATATTGATGAGCTCGATCGAGCACTTGCAGAGGAAAGGTGTGTGAATTAATTATTATGATGTGAATTCTAATAGTCATGATTTATAATGCTTCTTACTTTTTTTTTTTTTTGGTATTGTAGTTATTGATGAAGAAGATGAAGGAGACGAGTTCCCGAATGTTGACTTTTCTACATATGGATTTGATTTCAAACTAAAGATCCAATTAGTAGTTTCTACTTTCTAGTTTGAGACATTAACTTGTGGTTTGTGAACATTAAGCTTGTGGTTTGTGAACTTTGCTTGGTTGTTTTGTACTAGTTTCTAAAAATGTATTTGGATGATTATGAGGTTTATTAGGTATTGAAATCTCGCACTTTGTTGAATATTACCTAAGTTTATTTACTCTTTTACAGTTTCTTATGCAATATAATCCGGTTTTATTCCGATATTTTCCCGGTATGGTACCCTAATTTTGCCGGTACGATTTTTTAACAAAAAATTAATTTTTTATTCCAAAAACGGTATTTACCGGTAGAAAACGGTTGAACCATGGTTGTACCACGATTTACCATGCCAAAGACGATTCCAATTTGATGTCCGGTACGATTTCGTAATCCATGATATAAACACATAGTATGGACTTCGTAGATGTGTTTTCCCCTTTCTTTATCTCATTTTTGGGCTAAATTACACGTTTGGTCACTCGAATTACACATATATTTCACGTTTGCCACCAAAATTACTTTCCTTTCTTATTCGCCACTAACTTTACACATCATTTCACCGTTGGCACCGGCCGTCCAATTCCGCTAAAATCATCCTACGTGGCAGTCAACTTAGTCCTTTGACCATTAGTTTGATGACGTGGCAATTAAAAAATATTTCATCTCCTTCCACTTCTTCCTCCCAGTGAACACTTCTCCTCGAATCCAATCAGACTCCTGATAGAACATCTATTCGTGGGCAACGACGGTGGCAACGATGGAGGTGAAGGAGTGGGCACAGACGGAGACGGCAGATCCACCGGCAGCAGAAGAGGGGCGGATCCGATGGATATACTGCCGCCATAAGTTCCTACTTTACCTGCTCACCAAAACCGCATCCAAGACAATCTCCTTCTCTTTCTCACTCTCCTTGACATTCGCCACTGGAACTTCTTCTTCTTAGCAACCTCGCGGTGGAGGCTAAGTAAAGCCATAGTCGTCGCCTCGTTGCTCAAGGACTCGTAGATCTGCAAACTTCTTCTCGTCACTCAAATAAAACCGGACCCTTCCAACCTCGTCAGTTGATGGGTTTACAGTGGAAGTTGGTCCCTGGAGAGTCCCCGCGCGTTGTAGCTCTGCATGTGTCCCTTTTGGTTTCGCCGGAGATGGCGGTGGTGTATTCCGCCGATTCTGAATTGTTTCTGATTTCCGCTCCAATAAGAAGGGGGCATTATGGAAAAGCAGGCCAGAGAATCAAACCGATTGAAGCCATTGACATCCTTGTCTGCGCTCTGTTGTCTGGAATCACCGACGTTGGCTTCTTTTACGATTTTGAACAACTCTCCGTTGCCTGGAATCACCGGATTCAAATGTCAAGTCATTCAACATTAATGACAAAGTGTATTGTCAATTAGAAATTGACCGAAATTACGCCACTGGGGCATTGAATCACATTAGAATAAGAATGGCCTCTCTATGGATTCAAGGAGAAGTGTCGATGGGAGGAAGAAGTGAAAGGAAGATAAAATAATTTTTACTTTTATATTTTTTAATTGCCACGTCATCAAACTAACGATCAAAGGACTAAGTTGACTGCCACGTAGGATGATTTTAACGGAATTGGACGGCCGGTGCCAACGGTGAAACGATTCGTAAAGTTAGTGGTGAATAAGAAAGAAAAGTCATTCGGATGGCAAACGTGAAAGATATGTGTAATTCGAGTGACCAACCGTGTAATTTATCCCTCATTTGTATAATATTCATTTGGATTAACACCCACTTTGTTCACTAATGAACCTACCTTGTCAAAAGAAGGAATTTGAGGATAAGGAATCATGTTTAGGCAACCATACATCAGTCAAATCTTCATTTTGACGACCGCGCCTCCATCTCCATCCCAAAAGAAAGCATTAAAGGAAAAAGAAGAAGAAGGAAAAATCAAAACCTTGTGAGAGATTATGCAGTTTAACAAATCCCCTGTTCTTTATCTTTGCGTTTCCAAATCTTTGGTCGTTCCAAGAAAGGAGGGTTATTTAAAGAGGAAAAAAGTAAAGGAAAGTTCCAAAAGCCTCAGTAGAAGAAGAATCAATCCCCACAACAAGCCATCCCATCATTCATCCATCCATCTCTCCAGCTCACAGTTTGAACCCTTGAACCGCCCCCTTTCTCTCTCTCTCTCTCCCTCTCTTTTATTCACAGGAGAGGGAGAACAAAAGTGGGGGAAAGGGGGAAAACAATGAACAACAACAACATCCGCTCCCACAAGCTTACAATATTCCCTTCTTCTTTTAATCTCCCATCATTATTCCCTCTTTGTGTCTCCCTGCTCTTCTCTTTTTTCGCTTCCTACCAACTTCACCCCACATTCCCCATCATTGTTCTCCTCCAATGGCGACCACCCGGCAGCGCGTTTACCAAGCCTGGAAAGGACGAAATGTGAGTCTCTCCCTCTCTAATTCCATCTGGGTTTTGTTCCATTGCTCCATTTCTGCAACCTGTGTTCTTCTTCCTCTCTCAGTTGGAGTCCTCTGTTTTTCGTCTTCTCCCCTGTTTTTCAGTTTTAATCCTCTGTTTTTTGCTCCCTCTGTTCTAATTTCTGCCGTTTCAGCTGTGAGATCACAGTTAAATGGGGGGAAAATCATGCATATTAAGTATAAAGGATTTAATACTTCACGAGACATTCTCTTTGTTGTCCTCTGCTTCGGTCAGATTATCTTTCCATATTTGTGACTGCAGACTACCATTAATGGCTGCAACTACCAGTCCTTTCATTATTATCTTTTGTCCTTTTTAAGGCATGTAACCCATCCCCTCTTTGTTTGATTCGTAAAGAAATGGGATTTCTACAACATGTTATTTGTTTTTTTTATTTTGATTTTTTCCCATCTGGGTTTATGCAGATATTTCTATTGAAAGGGAGGCTGATATTTGGACCAGATGCAAGATCAGTGGCGATAACCGTGTTGCTCATTCTGATTCCATCCGTCATCTTCTGCACCAGCGTTGCGAGGAATCTTGCAGATGAGTTGCCGCCAACATCGAGCCTGCGCTATGCCATCCCAGCTGCAGCCATTCTCTTCACAATCTATGTCAGTTCCTCTCTGATCTCTTTTGCTACTTAATTAGCTTCTCTAAGCATTGCACCGAGTTCGAAGCCAGAGAAATTTCTTAAGAAACTACCAAGTTGGCGTGGTGAATAGTGAGAAAGTAAAAAGTTTCTACATTTGATTTTATGATTTTCTCCAACCACTCAATTGTCAGGTTTACAAACCAGTCCAGTCACCAACCCAATATCAGAATACTAGTCACCACTAATTCGTAAACTTATTTCTAACCGCGAACCGAACTCTAGAATCCTGATTATCCCTCGTATCGACAAACTAATTTGTACCAATTTCAAGACAACAACAAAATCCTCATTTCATTGGAACCAAATTTCCTCAAACCCTAAATTTTCATCAATCCATAATGCTAATGTTTGTTTTTTTTTCCATCCACACAATAACCAAAATGTTGACTAGTTGATTGATTCAATGATATGCTAACATGCAGGTACTAGTGCTGCTATTCCTCACTTCAAGCAGAGACCCAGGCATCGTCCCGCGAAACACCCACCCGCCGGAAGACGAAAGCTTCTACGACCCTTCCGTCAGAATCGACGCCAACAATGGCCGGCAGACACCAACTCCACGGCTGCCTCGCACCAAAGAGGTCCTGGTCAACGGCCTCCCCGTCAAAGTCAAGTACTGCGAGACTTGTATGCTGTACCGCCCGCCTCGCTGCTCCCATTGCTCCGTCTGCGACAACTGCGTCGAGAGGTTCGACCACCATTGCCCCTGGGTCGGCCAGTGCATTGGCGTGGTACGCGTTTCTACGTTCTTCTGTGTTTATCGTACTGCCACACAATGTAGTCAAAATCGCGCTTTAAAACTTAAAAACTTACGATTTTACGTTTCTAGGTCACTAAAACGCTTCTACACAAAATCTTAGTTTTTATAGCTTATGTAGTTAAAAATTCCGCATTAAAACTTAAGAACTTACGATTTTACGCTTATTGATCACCAAAACGTTTCTACGTAGAAACTCGCTTTTGACTACATTGCTGACACGTAGTAGTAGTAGTGATGGCAATTTCTGACCTGACTGACTCCGTGCATCGATGTGTCTTTGGGCGAAATGTTTGCAGCGCAACTACCGCCACTTCTTCCTCTTCGTTTCCTCGTCAGCCTTTCTGTGCATCTACGTCTTTGCAATGTCGGCTTGGAACATCAAGTTTCTGATGAATCAGCACGTCTACCTCTGGAGGGCAATGAGGGAATCCCCTGCATCGGTCGTTCTGATGATCTACTGCTTCATTTTCCTGTGGTTTGTTGGTGGACTCACTTGCTTCCATCTCTATCTCATCAGCAGGAACCAGGTGATCAGTTTCTTCATTTCCCCTGTCAGTCAAACCCTTGTTACAATGGATCAAAAAAGCTCTGAACTTTTCCTTTCCTTGTTACTGAAAACTCTGTAAAAAAAAAAAAAAAAACCAGACTACGTACGAGAACTTCCGGTATGGGGCCATGAACAGGGTGAATGTGTACAATAAAGGTTGTTTGAGGAACTTCCTGGAAGTGTTCTGCAGCAAGACCAAGCCTTCCAGGATCAATTTCCGGGCTTACGTACAAGAAGAGCAGCAGACGCAGCAGCAGCAACAACAGTATTGTTTCCCAGCGATGCAGGTAAGGGAAGCAGCGAATCGAGAGAATGGAGATGGTGGGGATGATCGTCGGGTGAAGGTGGAGGACAACTTGGAGATCGATAAGGACTTCATGAAGATTTCGGAGAGGCATATTGCCATAGAAGATGGGGTATGATGAAGTAGCTCAGTAGGTTAGAAGGTCGAGATGAAGAGTTCTTTTTTTTGTTGTTGTTGTTGGTGTTTGTGTTTATAGTGGCAGGGTTAGAAGTATGAGCAAGGTTTTGAAGAAATGTGATGTACGTCTGCAATTCTTTTGGTTAGGTTTTTACAGATGAATGTTGAGATTCTAGAGGTCGTCATGACTCATGAGCCATTGGGATGGATTGTAGTGTTGGGTTTTATAGCACAAGCAATTGTGCTTTCTTTGTGGTCAAACTAAGGAGATACCTAGTTACTTGATCCACAACCCCTTTTCAAATTTGAGCCTCGTTCACCCCAAGATTCTCTTGTGCCTTATTTGTAGACCAAGATACTGGCTTAGGATAGGGTGAGTAACCCTTTGTTACTCACCCGTGAGTAACCACCTTAGGACTGTAGATCTGGGCCGGGCTGATCGTGTGGCTGTGGTTGATGCGGTGATGTCAGGGGCATTTTTGTCCGATTTTTTGAATTAATGACTTCCCCCTTTTGTCTGTTGCGAATCTTTCTGTGCGCGAGTTGGATTCGGTTTTTGGAGAGAGAAACTACGAGCAGGGGAGCAGCAGCTGAGAAACAAGGACGGCGATTCTCTCTGATTGATTGACGACGATAGAAACTGCGAGCAGCAGCTTCGAATCGAGCTTTCTGATTCTCCATAATTGATCGACGTGTGCGCGAGTTGGATTCGGTTTTTGTAGAGAGAAACTGCGAGCAGTCGCTGAGAAACAGGGGACGGCGAATCTTTTCTGATTCTCCATAATTGATCGACGACGAGGTTAGATATTAGTTTTTTTTATTCTTCCTGTTTAGCTAATCGAGTTTTCTGTTGATCTCTGGTTTCGTTGGAGGTTTTTCATTGCTGCTAGTCGAGCTTGTTCATGTTTAGCTAATCGAGCTTGTTCATGTGTTATGTTCTTTGCGTTTTGGTATTTTTGCAGTATTCTGGTGAGATGAGTTACGTAAATTGTGGCGATGTTGTTCCAATTGATAGATCTGGTTCTTCAACCAGCGTTGTAGGATCTGGTTCTTCATCTAGTGCTATTGGAACTGCTTCTTCATCTATCGATCTTGGATTTGATCATTCAGCTAACTCTGGTGAATCAGGAGGTAAGATATAAAATTTGTTTGTTTATTGAAGTTTGAATGTGTTAGATACCATATGGTACCATGGTGGTAATTACTGGTATACGATGAGAGGTGATACTATAGTGTTGTGTTGTGATGTTATTGTGCTCTGTATTTAAGTTTTACCATACCATACCATGGTGGTAATTACTTGTACCATGTTTGGAATCATTGGTATAGTGTCGTAATTTGATTTTACCATGCCTTATCATGTGGTATAATGTGGTAGTTTCAAGTTAAAGGTGGGGTTATGTGTGGTAATTGATTTTACAGTGCATTACCATGTGGTAAAATGTGGTAATTAGGAAGTTAAATATGAGGGTTCTGTGTGATAATTGATTTTACCATGTCATATGGTATAGTGTGGTAAATTGATTTTACCATGCCATACCATGTGGTATAGTGTGGTAGTTTGATTTTACCATTCCATACCATATGATATAGTGTGGTAATTTGATTTTACCTTGCCATACCATGTGGTATAGTGTGGTAGTTTGATTTTACCATGCCATATCATATGGTATAGTGTGGTAATTTGATTTTACCATGTCATACCATGTGGTAACTCTTGTATCATGGCTGTAATTATTGGTATACATTGAGATTTCATACTGTTGTGGTGTGGAATCCATTTTACCATATCATACCATGGTGGTATTATATTTGTACATATTTAATATGTTGCTTCATAATGTTTGTAGGTTTCAATGGTATAGATCCTACTGTTCGTGATTCTTGGAAGGACTTAGAGTTCAATACACCAGATGATGCATATAATTTTTATGTTGATTATGGGAATCATGAAGGTTTTGGTGTGAGGATTTATAACCAATCAGCGTGTCCGAAGCTCAATGGTGGTTCTTCAGCTGTATATTATATCAAGTATTGTTGCAATAAGGAAGGTTGGAAAAGAGGTAGCGAGAATAACCCTGATAATGCAGGTGTTGTTGATACGACGGTTCGTGTTCGTAATGTTCCAGAACTCAGGGGTGGATGTAATGGTGCTTATATACGACTGAGGTGGTTTAAAGAGTTTAAATGCTACAAGATCTATCGTTGGTATAATGTGCACAACCATGACATGATTCCTGAGTCTCTGCGTCACTATGTGAGATCCAGCAGACGAATGGCTTTTTTGTATAAGATGTTGGCAGAGGTGAATGATGCTGCTGGTATTGGTGTGACTTCTTCGTATAATGCAATTAGTAGGGCTGGTGGTGGTCGGAAGTTTGTTGGGTTCACAAAGAATGATTTGAAGAACCATCTGCGAACGGTGTGGACGTTATCAATGGAGTATGGTGATGCGACTGCATTGCTTGAATACTTTAGACGTCAAGCACAGCTGGATCCTGGGTTCTTTCATGAGGTGGAGGTTGATGTTGAAGAGAACATTGCTAGTATTTTTTGGGCAGATGGGAAGATGAGGATGGATTATCATTATTTTGGTGATTCAATTAGTTTTTATACTACTTACCGGACTAACAAAGAGTATCGGGCACTAGGTATGTTTTCTAGTTTGTTGTTTATTATTGTCTTTGTGAGTTTGTATGATTATTATTATTATTCTGTATCATGGTTTTTTTGTTCTTACAAGTCTGTACCATATGGTATGGGTTGGTATGGATTGCTTTTTTGTTCTTAAAAGTATTTTACCATATGGTATGTGTTGGTAACAAGGTTATTTGATGTGGTTTTTGGGTTGTTAGAAGTTTGTACTATATGGTATGGGCTGGTATGCATTGTGTTTTTGTTCTTAAAAGTCTTTTACCATATGGTATGGGTTGGTAACAAGGTTATTTGAGGTGATTTTTGCGATGTTAGAAGTGTGTACTATATGGTAGTCTGGTATGGATTGTTTTTTTTTGTTCTTAGAAGTCTTTACCATATGGTATGGGTTGGTATTATTGTTATTCGTACCTTTTACCACATGGTATGTGTTGGTAGAATTGTTTTTACTCACATTTTCTTATGTTTTTGTAGCTTTGTTTGTTGGTTTCAACAATCATCACCAACTGACTGTCTTTGCGGCTGCTCTTCTATATGATGAAACAACGGCAACATTTGAATGGCTTTTCGATCAGTTTTTGAAATGCATGGGAGGTGTGAGACCGTTATCAATGTTTACTGACCAGACTGCTGCAATTGCTGCTGGTATAAGGTCTGTTTTCCTAGATTGTTTTCATGGGTTGTGTACATGGCATATTGCTCAGAATGCAGTTGTTAATCTGGGAAGTTTGTGTGACTCTGACTTCCTTCGTGAGCTTAGTTATTTGATGTATAATGCTGATGATGAGGATGATTTTGAGTATAATTGGAAGAAGATGATTGAGAAGTGTTTTCCTGGGAAGGGACCTTTGGGACACAGTTGGTTACAGGGCATTTACAAAGTCAGGACGAAGTGGTCTTCAGCCTGGATGAATTGTCATTTTGGTGCGGGAATGAAGAGTACCCAGCTAAGTGAGTGCTGCAATAGTAATATTCGACATTACTTGCAGTCAGAGTTTAACGTTAGTAGGTTCTTTGTGCACTTTGAGAGGATGCTTGATAATAAGAGGGATGCTGAAGAACAAGAAGAGTACTATGCCTTATCTAGGTTGGCTGATTCTCGGTTTTCTACTAGCCCTATTGTGAAGCAAGTTGCTAATATGTATACGCCGAAGATATTCAAGTTTTTCCTGGATCAGTACAAGGAATCTCTTGCGTATAATATTTTTTCAAATATGGAGATAGAAACAGAAGGACATGTAGGAATGTTTGATGTCTTCATATTGGAGGATGACCTTACAAGGTTGGATAGTAGGGTGTTGAAGGTTGATTTTGAAAACGGTGAAATCAAGTGTTCTTGCCGTAAGTGGGAGTCAAGTGGTATGATCTGTAAGCATCAAATTAAGGGATATGATATGTTGTGGTCTACAACATGCAATCTGAAGTTCCAGCACATTCCTAGCAGTTTGATTTTGAAGCGGTGGACAATAGCAGCAAAAACTGGAGGGAACTTTTCTTTTGATGTTCCGTCTACTGATAGTCCATCGAAATATCGTTCTCGTCTTTTCAATCTGTCAGTTGTTTCTGCATCAATGATCAGCAGGGTTGCATTGGATGATGATTTGTATAAATCAGCCATGGCCTTCATGACTGATTTGATCAAAAAGTGTGAAGCCCTATCGATTACTGAACCTGCTGGAACAAGCACGTCTTCTAACGGTGACAGTAAGTTTTTAATTATTTAGAGTTTTGTGTTTTGATGTATGCAACTGTTTAGAGTTTTGTGTCATTGATTGTAGTTTGTATTTGTTATCTTGGTATAGATGATGTAACGGTCCAAAAAGTGAAGGGGTTTAAGCCTAAAAAAGATTCATTCAAGCCTTCGAAACGACCAATTCCAGTTGCGGAGGCTGCAAGGGCTGTAAGTAAGAAGAAGAGAAAAACTAGCAGGCTTGAGGAGGAGAATTTGAAGGCTGTTGAAGAAAGTTTAAGGCTGAAGCTGTAATAGTTTTCTTAGAGGATTATTTGATGAATAGTTGATGCTGGTTGAGTTGTTGAAGCTATTTTGTTCTTTTGGATTGGTTTTGGTTTTGTTGGATTTTTGTCTTGTCTTGTTGAATTAATTTTACAATGTCATACCATGTGGTATAATGTGGTAATTTGATTTTATCATGTCAAACCAGGTGGTAAAATGTGCTATTTTGGAAGTTGAATGTGAAGATTCTGTTTTATAATTGATTTTACCATGCCATACCATGTGGTGTGGTGTGGTAGTTTGGAAGTTCTGTGTGATAATTGAGTTTAGATTTGCCATACCATATGGTATAGTGTTGTAATTTATTTTTACCATGCCATACCATATGGTAAAATATGATATTTTGGAAGTGGAATGTGTTGTCCTGTGTGGTAATTGATTTTACAGTGCCATACCATGTGATAAAATGTGAGGGTTCTGTGTTATAATGGATTTTACCATGCCATATCATATGGTATAGTGTGGTAATTTGATTTTACCATGCCATACCATGTGGTATAGTGTGGTAGTTTGATTTTACCATGCCATACCATATGGTATAGTGTGGTAATTTGATTTTACCATGCCATACCATGTGGTAAAATGTGGTAATTTGGAAGTTAAATGTGATGGTTCTGTGTTATAATTGATTTTACCATGCCATACCATATGGTATAGTGTGGTAATTTGATTTTACCATGTCATACCATGT